AAAAATAAAAAGATATAAATTCAATAAACAACTACGAAAAAAATTACAGTTTTTTTCTACCTACATTTTCTATTTTCTGATCTGACAATGTTTCAATCATTTCTACTTTATTCTAAGAAAAGATTTTTAAGTAATAATATTAATAAATCAAAGTGCCAAAAGCATAATAACTATGAGCAAATATGACATGCAAAAATTAATAATTTTTTTAAAAAACTCAATGACCAATTATCAGTATGTAAGATAAATAAAGTTGAAATATTAAAAGATAAATATTTTTAACTTATTTGACATTTCATATGATCATTTTAATTTTTTTGTACTGATATTTTTTGCATGAAATTATATAATTAGTTTTGCAAAATATTACAGAAAAAACTTCATATGGTCATATTAACTATCAGATAACATTATGACAAATAACAGTTAATTATTGAGTTAATTTCACTCATATGCTACTATGTAGCACATAGAATAACATTAATTTCGACAAAAAACAATTAACTGTTATTTTTTGTTATCTGTTTAATAATGTATAACCATATAATAATTTACTAATTTTATTATTCAACAACACTTTCAGCAAGCATAAAAATTGAATCGTTAATAAATGAAGACAGACAACTAGAGAATAGCATTAGATATTTAAACAAAATTTGTCAAATTCAGTCAAGTGAAATCACATGTTTATTGATTGAAAATAATTTATTGAACCAGATTTGTCAAATTTAATTAAGCCAAAACTATTTGAATTTTGGCAAATTCAAATAATATATTTAAATACAAATATACTATTTTATAATGATTATCAATAGTGGTAAGATCAATATTTTAGATATATTTATATTATTATTAAAAGTATAGAATGACTTGATTTATTATTTAAAATGATTACTATAAGAAATTATTCTATTCTTAGTGTAAAGGATTTTCAGTTTTAGAACAAAAACTATATTAATTGTCAAATATAGTTAATATCCTTTCTCTCAAAAACTAGTTTAGTTATTACATAATTTACCTAGTACCAAAACTAAAGTTGAAGAAGTGAAGTGGTAGTGAAAAGAGTAATTTGTTTACATTATATTTATAGTATTGATTTATTAAATTCGAATTATTAAATTCATAAAATTAAAAATATAAAATTCATATTTTGAATCTGAAATATTCTTGTCAACATTTTAATAATAACTCAATTCTCTCCAGAAACTTATTAATAATGATTACAACTTAATAAAAATTATTATGATAAATAATATTAAAGAATGGCAAAGAACCCGAATAACAGAATATTGTACTTAAAATTATAAAAGATTTAAATAATAATATAATATTTTTTGATATTTCTGAATATGGTAAAGTATCTTTATTATTATTGAAGAAATATGAATTTCTTAATATATACAATCAAACATATCTGCTACCAAATGTCATTCTTTTCTTGATAGATAAGTGTGAATTGCTATAAAGGCATAGCTTGATAGATAAGTGAAAATTGCTATTAAAGATATAGTTACTCTAAATCTTTAAGTAGTTAAGTACAAAACTATTTTCTAACAATATATCATTTACTATTATTTTCTATTAAATACTATATTTATTTAGTATTATATCAAACATAAAGGTATAAAACATGAACCAAAACATAATAACAGAATAGCACATATATTACACTTTACAATATTGGTATATATATTGAATAGTACATATGAATAGATTAGCAGAATACATATATGAGCATATTTTATTTCGTTACTTTATGTACAATTACCCATCCAAAACCCATAAAGTTTGGTTTAGTAAAGTGCAGTAAAGCTAAAGATAGTTAGGTTGGTTTAGGTTCGGTTTGGTTTCAGAACCTTTAGGTTCTATTTTAAAAATCTAAGAATTTGGTTTTAAAAAGTTCTAGAACCTGGTTCAGAACCTGGTTCTGAAACTAGTTTTCAGGACTGGTTCTAGAACCTGGTTTCAGAATCTAGTTTTAGAATCTAGTTCTAGAACCTGGCTCTACCTATATTCTTTTATTATAAATACTAACCCAAAATCTAACCTAATTTTAAAAAAAATATGTTCAAAAATTATAAAATTTCATGCTAAAATAAAATTTTTATCACCTTACTAGTACGATATTTCCAATCAGATAAATTAGACCAAAATATCTTTATTTATTCGATAGTTTATTGAATAAAATATGATTTATATATAAATATAAAATTATAACTGCTAGTAATACTTCGAACATAGATGTGAATTTGAGTAGTTGCTTTTAATCTAAGAAATTTTGATTATTTTATTTTTTTACAAGTTCAGAAGTGATATTAAAAATGAACTAAAAAACTAATTACTTAAAATAAGCAAGAAAACAAACAATAAAAGATCCAATATTTTTAGCATTTGCTACAAATTTAGGTAAGGTTACTTTGTATTAGAATATATATTAGAATGTACTTACACAAAAGAAATGTTAATAACTCAATATTATAAATATCTCTTTATAAATCATTTTATTGTGATCTAGTAATGTTGATAAAAAATTATTACAATAAGTTTTACTGTTAAAGCCACATATAATAATAATTATAAATGAAAGTGATATCTCTATTTTTTTTTATGAATCTTATGAATGATTCCTGTTTACTGTTGTCATCTTTTAATAAAGTTTTAGATCTTATATAATAATAGTAAAACTTTTCTTTAAGAAAATCAATAATAGTATTTTTATTTTTTGTCTAACAAAAAGAAATATTATTTGCTGCAAAATTTGTTTAAAGTTTTCAAATTTCTTATTGACTATATTTTCTATATTTGTATCACAAACAAATACAATTGTATCTTTTTTATAGAAAAGTAATAGATTATTAATAGTATAAACATCTTCATCATTAAAAGTTGCATGATTTCAGATGATAAGATTATAGCAAAAACCTTGATAAATAATTTTAACAATTGAATATAAGGAAAATCTAGAATATATTGTTTCTGTATTAACAATATTAAACCAATTTTTGCTTAATAAATTAAGGATACATAAATCTATCCTTACTTTTTTTTGACCTAATTGATTTGATATATCGAGTACATATGAATAGTCTATTGCTTTTAGCATAGTTAGTATAATTTAAAAAGTTTTTAGTAAAGATCAAAAATGAAATTCTCAAACTTTTGTGCTCATAATTATGATTTTTAACTATAAATTTATTATGAAGAATCTTTTTCAACTGGAACAACAATGAAGCTTGTAATAATATAGTACAGATTATATTAACTAATTATAATCAAATTAAAATTTAATATATCAAATAATTCAATATGATTGTAGCAAGAATTTTTAATAGTTGAACCCAATAAAATACTTTATCCAAATGTTAATGATATTTGATTATCAATATCATACAAAATATTGTTTTGAAGTAGAAAACTATTTTTATTTATGCTTTTAACTCAAATAAAGTAATTCATATCACTAATTAAAATAATACCACAATTTGAATGGTAACTTAAATCTAGAATATACATATCACAAAAATTTTATATTATACAATTTTGATAATGAACTCTGATAAATTTACTTCAAATCTAAGGGTAAAAGAGTTGGCATTGTTTTATTTCAATTGATGAAAAATTAAATTTCAAATCAATTTAAAATCAAATTCTATTAAAATATTTATTATAAAATAAAAGAATGCTATTTCAATAAAGAAGAGAAATTAATACTCTTTAAACATTAGATGCAAATGATCTATAAACTGTATTTCGTATTCAGGAAAATTCATTTATAGTTATCTTGATGAATTTCAAGTTCACCATATAGCCTTTCAATTAATAAATAAAAATAGCTGCATTTTATTTTTTAAAAGACAAATAATTGTTATAAGAATATCAATTTGTTGTGTGAATAATTAAATTTCTCACTAAAGATTTTTTATGGTACAATTAGAATTATATATATCATATCTTAGAGATGTGATCCGGGTTAGGCAAATCTGGGTAATCTATGAGTTATTCAGGTATCCGGGTAAGATACATTAATCTGGATGAAAGCAGATATGAAGTTACATGAACATACTAATTGGCACAGCAAATAACTAACCAATCAAATTTCCTTATTTTTTGCTTTAATTGAATGTATGTGATGTCTAGAACTGGGGTATCATTTGCAGGAGTAAATACAAAAATCGACATAATCGCACAATCAGTCAATTATGACAGATAGTGATGTAATTGTGCATCAGAAAATAAAGGGTTCGATCTTTGAAAATGATAATACCTACACCTTGATATTTTAGTATTCATTGAATAAAACTGAACCTAAGAGTTAACACTGGAATACCTTGTGTATATAAGGTGGTGGTATCATTTTAAGGTGGAGATTGACATTGGAACGAACAAAGAACAAAGTAAAAGAATAAAGAGTAAACGAACATTAACTTTCCAAGAATCTTTGGCATTGGCGTTTACATATTCTCAAGAATCTTCAGTATTGACAATTTATATGCCTATAGCTTCAAAAACCTTTAGCGTTAGTATTAGCATGTGTATAGTTTTAAGATCTTTGGCACTAGTATGTATATAATTTTAAAAAACTTAAATAATAAGGTATCTGTAGTCTAATATATAATAAAAGGTGTTATTAACATCATAATTTTTATCAATTATAATTTCAGTTTCTGTTATCATTTATTAAACATTAAATATTTTTCGTAGTAAAATGTTTGACAAAAATGATGATATTTTTGATAAAATGTATGAGGAATCTATTTCTCATAAATAACCTGAAAATAGTAACAATATTTCTATTAGCTCAAGCAATAAAACATCTTCAATTCCTAATGACCAACCTCCAAAAAAAAAAGTTAAATTAAATAAACGCAGAAGGCGATATGCTAAAATTAGTTGGGTTTGGAGATACTTCAAACTAAGTGATGATGAAACATGTGTTAAATGCCAAGTTAAAACAATGAATTTGCGAAATGAGTTGGTACTATGTAGTTGTAAGCTTCAATATGATGGTGGCACAGGTAACATGAGTAATCACCTTCGAAATATACATAATTTAAATGAAACTCAAGATAAGGTATGTTTGTATTGTATGAATATTATAATACATAATTAAAAATATTAATAATTTAATATAGCCTCGAGATGGAATGATTTAGCAAAATTTACCTGAAATATTCGAACAAGCAAGGTCTAAATCATATAAAGAGCCACGAATTCAAGAAATTTGAAAAGCTATTACGGAATAGATTATTACTGACAACATGGCAATTAATGTAACTAAGAGAAAAGGTTACAAGAAAATAATGAAGGTTATTGACAAGGCTTTTCCAATTCTTTCTGAAAAAAGTATTAAAAAAGAAATTCATATGAGTTATGCAAATGGTGTTGAAAAAATTAAAAAATTATTAGATACTACCTGTGAATCAGCATCATTGACCACTGACCTGTAGACTGCTCGAAGTAAATATGGGTATATAGGTATAACTATCTATTGGTTATCAAGTGATTTTAAACTATATGACTGTCTTCTTTGCATGAAACGTATGCTATACCCCATTTGGGTGAAAATATAGCTTTACTTTTAAAAAAAAAAGCTCTTGAATTTGGGTTAAATGAGAAGATTATCTGCATTATAACTGATAATGGAAGCAACATGGTTAAGGCAATTAACTTGTGGGAGAATGTTAAACATTTGACCTATGCAGCGCATACTTTGCAGTTGTCAATTAATCGTGCTTTTAAAAAAACAAACATTTATTTTAAAAGAATTAAGCGATTAGTTAAATTTTTTATACAGTCTCCAAAGCATAGTGAATATTTTGATGATGCACAACGATTTCAACAATGTAATTCATCTTCGACTACTTTTTTTGAGCAACATCAAGAGAATACTGATTTAGAAACATTAGATAATTCTGATAATGAAACTTTAGACTATATGTATAATTCTGATAAAAGTGTATTAAGAAATATTTCTGATGTGAAGATATGTTGGAACTCTAAGTATCACTTATGGTGAAGGTTACTTAAATTACGTAAAGCGATCAAATGGTTAGCTGCAACCTTACCTTTATCAGAAAATTCAGATGATCGAGCTGAAGGTTGAAAGCTTAAAGAACGACTTTTATTACCATATGAATGGGATCTCTTAGAAGAAATTATTACTTTATTAGAACCTTTTGATGATGCTACAGCATATTTTAGTAGTACACGATATGCAACACTTTCGATTATATATCCACTAGTTCAAGTTCTTAAGTATAAATATGCTGATAGTAAATTTACTGAGCCATTAGAGCATTATAATTTAGATGGTATAGAATTTAATTTTAAATATTTATTAAATTATACAATAAATAAATTAAAATTGTTATATATAAAAATTTTGTTAGTCTTATATTAAATATTTATATAATTAATTGTATAGAGACGTCTAATTTTTACCATGATATCTAGTGATGATGATAGTAGTTCTGAAGATGATAATGAAGATCTTAATAGTTCGATAGCTCGAGTAAATCACTATCATCAAACACGATCAGTAACAAATATTGTAAACCAAAATGAGGATTATACTTATACAAAACAAATTATTCTTTGGACTTTAAAGCATACGATTTATAGTTCCTTGTTTGATTATTGGAGTGAACTGATAATGGTTGGATTACTGGCATCACTCTTAGATCCTCAGTTAAAAACTTTAGCTAGTTGGAGTGATGAAATTCAAGAAATAGCAAAAAATGAATTAACACATCAATTTAAAAAATTACCAAGTTGAATTCAACATCATTAAATCATACTACAAATATGCTCAACAATAATAATTTTTATCGTAGTCATTTACGTTCTTCAATATTTGGCATATCTAATAGAAATTCTATAGTATCTAATTCTATAACTGAATTAGAGTATTATTTGGATCCAATACGCACACCAATTGCTGAAGATAATATGGATCCTTTTGAATAGTGGAATACTCAAAAAGCACAATTTCCAAATGTGCCAAATTGGCTAAAAAATACTTGTCTATCCCTGCATTATCTGTACCAAGCAAAAGACTGTTTTCTGATGCAGAAAACCAGATACAGCTAAACATACTTGGTTAAATTCAAATTTAGCAGCCAAAATGATGTTTGTTAAAAGAAATTCAAATGTTGTTAAAATGTTTAGCTAAAATTTTTTATTAATTCATATATATCTTGTCATAGTTATAAAGGTTCTGATGAAATTCTTTGTAGATATAATTCTATTGATTAGAATAAAGATTATTTCTTTAAGAATTATAATAATAATTTAGATTTTTACTAAAAATAGATATTTTTAGCATATAATTTTATAACTAGGCAATAAAATTAAAAGATTTGAATTAAATTAGTAACCTTTATAACAATAAATTTTATTAATTTATTTATTTTATAATTAATCTGGATTCACCCGAATATCTGATTTTAAAAGTATCCAGATATCCAGATGAGGTTTTAGCATCTGGGTCATATCTCTAATAAAGTATATATTTTATTAGAAAGAATAAGATAGGCTATCCTTAGGTTCCTATTTCTAAAGAATCCTATAATATTACAAGAGAGAATTTAGAGAAGAGAAAGTCTAGATCTAAGAGGTGGACGGTACAGATCTAATGTTAACTTGGGGAAATTTACATCCTTTTTATATCTTTAAAGCTAATCAATAATTGTTGCAGCTAAGCGTAGTTTACTTAGTGCTAAGCATAAAGTGTAATCGCTAATCATTAAGTGTTAAGCACTAATCATAATCACTAAGCGTAATCGCTAATCATTAATCGCTAATCGCTAAGTGTAATCGCTAATCACTAATCGTTAATTGTTAAGCATTAAGTGTACTACATGTTTGTTAAATTTTACTCTAATAATAATAACTAAATAATACTAAATAATAATAAGATAATAAAATAATAATAATAAAATACAATATTGAAATAATTAACTAATTAAATAATAAACTGTTCTATAACATTTCTGTCCCCTTATAAAAATTTGCTCTGCAAATTCTTGATTAAAGACTGATACTCTTTATCAGTGAACTTGATGACGTGGGTTATGGTAAAGTATCAGGTCTGATACAACAATTCTTTAGATCGAATGCTAAAGATTTGTTGAAGTCGAGTAGCTCTTTTCCAAATGTTTTAAGTCTTTTGAGAACCTTGAGAAGCTTGCAGGAGTTCACGAATTTGTTGTAGTTTGTTAGGTTGTTTCTGGATAAGAATTCCTAAGTACAGATAAGCTTCAAGAACTTTTATCTGTTTGGGTCAAGTTCGGCCTTTATCTTTTAACTGTCGAAGGATTTTGGTCAGTTGGTCTTTCTAAGTTCCACCAATAAAAGGGTTAGAATGGTTATGCGATAGAGGGGTAAGAGGTTGCATCAGTTTATCTTGAACTTTTTGGAAAATTTCTGTCTCTGGTTTTATTTTGTAAGGAGAATTGTTTAGAGTAGGGTTTACTTCTGGTTCTGTATCAGGTGAAGGGTTGTCTAGAGTTGGGTCGATTTCTGGGTTTTCGGTTAAGATGTTATCCAAGAAGGCTTCTATGTTAGTAGGGTCAGTTGGGTATCTACTGCAGTATTTACTAGAGGAGTAATATCACTAGTATCGTTAGGGTTATTAGGGTTCTACAGAAAGATGTTAGAAGAACAAATTTCCAAATTGTTTTGGGCAGCAGAGTCCTGTCTCCAAAT